TGCTCTTCTACCGTACAAATCGAGGCAAACATATGACTCAGAATGAGCAAAAGCCACAAATGATACCAAGATCTTCAAGAAGGACATTTAAAAATAAAGAAGCTACCAGAGAAGATTTATAACAATTACACTCTTAGATCTGTACTCAACTAATACTTAATGAATAATTCTCTTCTACCGTACTTATCGAGGCAAACATATGACTTAGAATGAGAAAAAGGCTGTCAACTATACCTAGTACTTCAAGAAGGAAAGGAAAAACTAAAGAAACAAAGAAGTTATATAACAATTACACTCTTGTAGAATGTGCAAAAGGCCATCAAAGATGCCAAGGACTTCAAGAATTAATGCGAACGAATTAATGAACTTCAGGAATCTTCAAGTTTGCGTTGACGTGAAACACGTGAACATGAACATAAAAAAATACACGTCCGAAAACAAAATAACAGAAAAAAACAAAAGAAACACATCCGTCTTTGGAGCCAACAAAATACCCATTTACACGAGGGAGATTTTTTTTTAAAAGATTCATTTGTAACTGCGCATTTATTTCATGTTTTTTTTCTTTTGTCACGTATTTTGATAATAAATTTCTGTTACTTATACTTGTAGTGTATCAAGTAAGGTGTACACTTAAATAAATTACTTGGCTTATGAATGGATGCACTTAGTTTGTGAGAGTATTTGGTGTTACTCCGGAGACATGATATGTTCAGAGTTAATCTATTAAAAATTATACTTGCAGATTTCCGCATTTCTCTTGAGAGTTTTCTCATTAGTTTCGCTTTCAACTGCTGAAATGTATTCAAATTAACAAAAAAAACAAAAAAAAAACATGTACATATAAAATAAATTTAACATTATATCCACATATAATTAGAGAAATTGAATAATTGTTACTTTCTCAAATTAATAACATTAAAAGGTCGTAAATTGAAACCCCTTTCGCATTTGGACAGTTGAAATCAAGTCATTTTTATTCACGAAGAATAAAATTATTAAAAGAAATGTCTTTCTTGAATTAATTACAAAATAAGGTCGTAAATTGAATCCCATAGACATATGATATCGAATCATCATATCGACGAGAAATAAAATTAGTTTTCAAATTAATAAGTGTCACTTTTTTAAATGAATTACAGAAAAAAAGGTCGTAAATTCAAACCCATTCGCATTTGGACAGTTGAAATCAAGTCATTATAATTCACGAAGAATAAAATTATTAAAAGAAATTACTTTCTTGTGTTAATTACAAAATAAGGTCGTAAATTGAATCCCATGGACATATGATATCGAATCATCATATCGACGAGAAATAAAATTAGTTTTCAAATTAATAAGTGTCACTTTCTTAAATGAATTACAGAAAAAAAAGGTCGAAAATTGAATCCCATTCGCATTTTGACAGTTGAAATCAAGTCATTATAATTCACGAAGAATAAAATTATTAAAACAAATGACTTTCTTGAATTAATTACAAAATAAGGTCGTAAATTGAATCCCATGGATATATGATATCAAATCATCATATCGACGAGAAATAAAATTAGTTTTCAAATTAATAAGTGTCACTTTCTTAAATGAATTACAGAAAAAGGTCGTAAATTGAAACCTTTGGACATGTGACACTAAGTAATTATCATTGAGTTTATATTGTAGTTTATGTTATTCACAGTTTTGTAACTGAGATCAGGCAATGACTAATGCAACAGGACACGTAAATCCAGTAAACTTTGTTCTTCTCCACGAAACAGTTGCT